CTTGTGTGAACACACATGCAGCAATTGTCATTGTGTCCAGCGAATGTTAACTTTTATTACAAGTTTGTCTTTTGAAGTCTTTTAAAAATCTCTCTCGCTCTGACCTCCGCCAGAACAGTCCTTAAAGTACAAACTGACATTTCTGGAAGATACTTGTTTTATTATCACTGCGTTTACAGGCCCCATTAACATTTTCGGCCATTCAATTCATATCTCAAACTTCAGTGTTACAGTATTCAGGGAATGGACATTACTTTTTTAAAAAAAGGGGGCCTGGGATTCAGTTTTCTTCACATCTTAATAAGCCCGTGGTTGGTAGGTGAAATTACGCATTTCTTCTGTTAGCCGTCGATGTGTCCAACAACTAAACGAAAAAAAAGGTGCTTTTACAAAACATAAAGGTCCCAGATGTACCTATCATTTGGGCAGGGTCAAACGTTTCCACAATATTCGTTGTCTTTACCTGAACGCGGGTTTTGCCTTTAAAACGACACAAAAACCAAAACTACAGTGAAATATTGAAGGAACTATTCTACATGGTTCAAAATTAAGCCTAATTATTGCAGCTAGTTTGCATTTCGTAAATAGTTTTATTTTGTGTCAGAAATGGATTTTAGAATCAATTCAACATTAGCCTCTCAATATCATTCTATTCCCTCACACGTGCACAACGAGCGGGGGAGTTATTTATTATGTCGCTTTTAAAGGGCAAACGTAAGGAAATAGCTTAATTTCCGCATTTGATGCTTTAGACTGTGCAGAGGGGCATTCGATGTAGCAACCTTACGCAAAGTCTGCAATACCGCAGGTCTGGTTTTGGCTGGATTGAAACAAATAAATTCTCAACGCAAAGAATATGACAACTGTTCTGTAGGAATTACTTTCTGTTTACAAAGGTCCCTTCACGGTGATCAAGGGCTCCGTCTGGACTGTAGTTTTAAGTGGGTTGAAGCAATCGAGGCTTGCAATCCGCACTCCGCTTTTTAGATTATTAGGTGAATTTTTTTTTGCCAAAACTGGACAAAGTTTAATAATTTTTAAAAAAAAAATACGAATAATGAACTTCTCGCAAAGCTCCTAAAAATGGCTGATGGAAACACATCCTAACTCCAACAGGCTTAGGAATATATAACTTAATACACGTTATTTGGACAATTGTTCTTCGTCGTAAGGACACGGGTATATCACAAACAGCATCTGGGTACAAAGGAGGTATAGGACTTTTGATACTTCTGTAAACCAACCAAGTTTGGGGAATAGTTGCAAAGTGCGAAAAATACACAATACTGCTTTCAACACAGAATAAAATAAAATGGGCACGATGGATTTGCACAAGGTGGGGAGTAGCATTTCTCAAGTTGTGTGCATGAAGATTACAAACATACGGGAAGGGTTAAGACCTTCGAGATAACTGTCTGTGCCTGTTTTGCCAAGTGAACTCCATTCCCCTATCAAAATAAATGTCGAAATTTTCCATCAGATAAATTATCGTTTAAATTTTGCTGATGGTTGTTCAGTCTAAATTATAAATTATTCCAGTCCAATTAAATGAAACACAACCATGCTTATTTTAACCCCGGATTCAACATATACAAAGGTAAAACACTGGTGATGTTGGAAATCTGAAGTAAAATCGGAGAAAAAAATGAAAAAACTGGATAGGTCTGCGAGCATCTCTGGTGAACCATTCCAAAGGAAAGTCGTTAAACTTGAAACATTAACCCGGTTTCCCTCTCCACAGAATGCTGTCAGACCTACTGCGTATTTCCAACATTAATTGAAAATACACCCCGCCCCCCGGAATAAACTAGTGCAACCGCAGATCACACACCTCCGGATGGGAACTCAAACAGTAATATCAGAGGTTCCGCAAAGTACTTGTTAACATTTAACTAAGACTCCTTCTGAATCTTTGCAAAGACTGGTTTAGAAGGTGACGCGTGGTACATACAAAATAGCAAGTGTCCAACACCAAATTCATTTATTAACAGCTCGGCGCACGTTTCTAAACTAACAAGTCTAAGCCTTGCCACATAGGACATTGGCGTATAGGCAAGATACAGTTGCTTATCAATCTACAGTCTTTGTGCATTTTAACTGACACCACACCAATGCAAATTTCCCGCATCCAATCGTACTTCATCTAAAAATGTCGCTAGTCTTCATATTACTGATATTATAATAGAAAGCAGAACATCCTGGAGAAACTCAGCGGGTCTGGTACATTTCGAGTTCAGTATGGCTCTTCTTCGGAACACCGAAATGGTGATATCTTTATCACCCGTATTTCCCAATCAGCTTCCAATTTGGAATGAATAATATTCCAGTTTGCTCAAATCGCCCCGAACTCATTAGTTAAAAGCCTTATATTTTATATATCTTTTTTTTAAAATGAAAGCAAGCAAAATCGCGAAAATTACCCCCAATTTCCGCAGACTGGTTGCACCTGTTATATAATTAACTATTTAACAGTCCGCTTCTCTCTTTTGTGAGTGCAAATCTTTTCTCTGCCTGGTTTTGAATGGCCGTTCCTGGTGCATTTGGGAGGCTGCAAATCATCTACTCAGCGGGAGAAAGCAAACGTAGCGAACGGGATGGGGGTTTCACAATGAGGGCTTATTCATGCTGCACAGATCGGCAGTAATTACGGGCCGTTAAAAGGCAAGAAATTGTTAAATACTGACTACACCCCGCAGCGTTCTTTTATTTTTTAAAAAAAAGCCGTTTAAAAGCAGTACTGGAACAACGACAGAGTATACACATAAAGGCAACACGCTTCAAGACAAGGCTGGGGGGTGGGGAGGGGGAGGGGGAGGGGGAGGGAGGGCGGTGGGTGATGGGGAAATGTTTCGATTCACAAAACCCTTGAGTTTTGTCCACACATGTCAACATTCACCTGTTCAGATCGCTCCGTGCCTGAGGTTTCGGCAAAACCAGCCGATATTTGAACAGTGGAAAGCGAGGATTTTAATCGTAACAGCAAGCTTTTTCTCTCTCTCTCTGCATTGCCTGGATCCACTTTCAAGATGAAAAAAACACTCAGGCTACTAAGAAATAATAAATTATAATCTGGACGGTTCGCTACGAGCCTTTTAAAGTTACCCTCCACCCCAATCCCCAACGTTTTATTCTGTTGGGAAAGAGATATCCCAGTTATTTTAATGGTCCACATATCGATAGATACTAGATTTTAAGCAGGGTGGCTATCCTCCAGTTGTATTTACTAAACAGTTTGGGAATCAGGAATTCAATTGGTTTTTATTTGTTTTTTTTGGAAAAGGCGACAAATAAATGGAATTCAGCATCGGATTTTTTTGCACTCTTAGTAAAACGTTAAAGATCGGTTGAGCGGTTCATATTGTACAGTTCCCAGACCGTCGGAAGATCGGATTTCTTTCTCGCGTGTTCCGTTCCGAGGTTAACAAGCAAAGCAAACAAAGAAAATCTCAGGCTCTCCACATGCTTTCCAGCATCCTTGAACCCTCCGGTCGGTGAAGCGGAAGCTCAGGTAGCGCTTTCATGCATTTCATAGCCGTCACCCAAAGCTGTCACAACCCTTCCCATCATCTCCCGCTGACACGTGTGTCTAAAAAAAGTTTTTGTTGGTTTTCCAACAACTCACTGACAATTCGTTCACCCTGTGTGCAAATGTCGTTTATAATTATATCTATATATATATAAACCTATTCCAACCCGCCATCGCCTTGACAATATAAGCAGCTACTTAAAATCAAATTGATAAAAAAAAACATCCGAGCACTGATCCGCTAATCGCCCGTTAATTTACTGACACGCCAGAAGCGAAATGAACGTAGCGGTGACAGAGGAGAGAGAACAAGAACAATGTACAGAAATTAGTAAACGATCTTGACTTGTTAAAACGAAGTTCCGGAAACTTGTCCCACCTACATTCACCAAGATTGAATCAAATGATCAATGCGAGCCTTGACTCTGACGGGACAAATACCTGGTGTGGCCGAGACACGAGGCTTCAAGGACGGCAGTGACAGCGCCTGACAATTCGCCGCTTTGTGACAGGACTAAAGATATTTATAGTTGAAGTGGGTATCACATGAGAATGTCATTTACATCGGTGCATTGATTAACAGATAGCGGAAGAGACCAGGTCTAATTAAGGGATAATGTATAAGGTAAATGTCCTAAATCGCACTTTAAAACGCAACTTCTTTGCGCCTTTTCCTCCACCGCTGAAGCTTTTTACAACGTGATGGAACAGATAGACGAGAGGCCGAGGGAATGCACAGCTACTAATAAGTGCCATTCTAAACACCATGCTCCGTAACTGGCGGTACAATGTTTCGAGGCCATTTTCACCATTTTTTAAAGGAAAAAGCATCCTGCCTCTCTAGTAGATTGCAGTTTTGTTGTATTTGAAACACAAACTTTCAGATCGTGGCGGCATCTACACGGTTTTTTCCTATCTATACTCGTATTCCCACCTCCAATCTCTGCTTCCCCTCCTCCTCAAAAAAATATTCCTCGTTTTACTGCGCCCTCCTCACTGATTTCAAACTCAACCTCGAGTCGCGGTTACTAAGCTGCGTTATCTGTTGATGGCTGGGAATTCGCCGACTCACCGGGCGTTTGTTTATCAGCTCTGTCATCTTCCCAGCCCTCCCCCCCCCCCACCCCCCCCCCCCCCAAACCAACCCACACCACTCCCACCCACCCACCAACACCACCCCCCCATCTTCACCTCTCCCCCACCCCACAACCCCAAACTCAGCTTCCCCACCCAAAGGACACATATTGGCTGCCGCCCACAGGACAATTTCCTCGCATGTTTTTCTATGTGTGTGAAAGAGAGAGAGAGATTGTCTGCCGGTTATCTGGGACGGACGGGGCTGCCAGTTGCTGAAGCTGGAGCTCTCATTAACTGAGTCCTAATTAAAGTTAATTAGGATCGCCGCCGGCGAGATGATGTAATACGCCCGTCGTCCAATCACACGGCAGGAGACAGCCAATTGGATACGTTGGCATATCAGATCCATATGCATGAAGCAGCCATGCAAATCCAGAAGTTTTCCTGAATTTCACGGGGAATTCTCTCAACTTAAACCCCTGTTTTTTTTTCGACTCAGCCGACAAGCGGGAAATTCGCCTCTGCTCGGGAAAATCGAGGGGGAAGACGCCTGGATTTGGTTTTGGCGAGCAGCCCCTGGGTCAGTTTCATGTGGCGCGTCAATTCCTTGTCAATTTCCTGCACGCTGGTAATTCCTAGTCAGTCCCGTGCACTTCCTCGTTAATGATGACTATGACCGCGATGGCTGACGGGCTGCTAGCACCAGACTCATCTAAGTCGGCCTTTCTGGAGTTTGGTCATCCCGCTCAGCAGTCATCCCCTGGCATGTCTCATGGACACTACCCGGTGCACGGCCTGCACTCCAGCGGACACTCCCAACACGATGGCTCTTACTCCGGCGCCTCTTCCTACGGCAGGTCGCTGGGTTATCCGTACCCGAGCTCAGTTAGCAACCACGCACCCAATCCGTACATGCCCTATCAGAACAGCAGCACTTTGGGGCACACCAGGTTAGAAGACACAGGTAAGAAAGCGGGCTCCGGCCGGCGACTTCAAATTTATTGTGTAAAGAAAGCAATGTATGCGATCGCTTTCCACCGCAGTTTCTATCGTCACGCTGCAATTCTAGAGTCAAAGCCTTTGGGAAAGAGTGCGCTACTGAGATTTGAGAGGCCTCGCTGATGAAATTATTTATATATTCACTTTTAAAAATTGCTCTCTTTAAATAGACAACTGCAATTGGACAAAACCGGTGCTGGGAAAACATGAGCTGGGTACGACTCTCCCCTTTCCTGCCCAAATAGTCATATTCACGGATTAGCGCTACGGCCAAAATTGTTTGCCGAGAGATCCGCCTTGACCAGGAAATTGATCGACCGGGCTGGTTGTAGAAGTGTATCATTACATTAAGCGGTCGACGGAAATATTCACGATTTGGAAGACAATGCAAATAAATGGTGCTTCTTTTGTGTGTGTGTGTGTGTGTGAGGTAGAGGCCTCTCCGAGTGAGGGAGAAAAACGCAGATATCAGAATTGAGTTTCTGCAGCGCGTCCAGCACCAAACTTCGGTTCAAAACATTACTTTCTTTCTCTATCACTCACATTGTTAAACTCTCGTCTTTAATGGGGTCATCTATTCACGGCTGTATGAGTACGAAAACATTTGATATGTTTCTTATTTGAAAGGGAGTGGGTTGTTGTTGTGGGGAGCGGATCGTGTTTTAGAACTGATGGTCCCTAAATTATATTCTTTCTATTTTCACTCCAAGAGCACGAGAAATCGACTGTAATCGAAAATGGGGAAATACGATTGAATGGCAAAGGGAAAAAAATCCGAAAGCCAAGGACCATTTACTCGAGTCTTCAACTGCAAGCTCTGAATCACCGCTTCCAACAGACACAGTATTTGGCGCTGCCAGAGAGAGCAGAGTTAGCAGCTTCTCTGGGACTCACACAGACACAGGTAGGGTGCTAGACAAGTCTCCCCTTTTAAAGGGTTGAGAGTCCATTTTGTGTTTTTTTTTGTTTTAAACCACAGTCTCTTTGTTCTTGGGTAAAAACACACAGGCCATCCGTGGTGTTTGAAAACTTGTTCAAACGTAGCCTCGTCTGTCAAACATAGATCTGTCCTCAAAATGTAAAATAAAATCCTCACCCGTCTCTGTTGGTGGTTTACTAAAGGGGATGGAATTCGTCTAATTAGAATTGAGTGATGAACTAAATTTTAAAAAGGAACAATAATAAACATGACATCCTTGGAATCCTTACAAGGTTCACTCCAGGTCCGAACGCATTCAAAGCTGTAAGGGAGCTGGAATGTTTGTGGAATATCTCACCACATGTTCACTAAATGACAGCGTGTGCTGTTGAGATGCAAGAAGATGTGGCGTGGTCTGAAACGTGTATCCCCTGTTAAAAAACGGCACAGGATCTAATTACAAGACTTTGTATGCGTGATGCTGCTTTAGAGAACTTTCCTTGTGGGATTTTGTTTTTGTCTTAATCTTCTAGAGGGTGTGGCGTTGGAAAATTCTGTCATGTAGAGAAGCCTCTGTCCCTTCAAAGGCAGAGATTTTTTCTGGGGGGGGGGGGGGGGTTGGGGGTTGTTGCAAAATAAAGCACTCATCGTTTATGCGTCAACTTCATGTCGAAAGGTTTTTCTTTTATAAAATGGGCTGCAGCTTAATAACTGTTCTCCAGGAACTTCAATCATTTGTTTTGTGATTGGAAGTTCAGGGCGGAATAGTGCGTTTCCAGGGGCCACATGACTGCTGCGCCTTTCTTTCACTGTCACTTCCACGGGTTTTAAAAAAAACCCACATTCACCTATCCAAAATGGCCGTCTGCAATGAAAAGATAACAATTTCCAATACCCCTAATGTATTCCAGTGTATTAGATAAATCCACACTGCAAGGATTCACAAAGGACGCGTCGCTTCCTCCACACAACTAAAATCATCACTTGTTTCAACGACTCTCAGTAAACCAGCCCATTGTGCCACTCTGCCTTCAGCCTTATACAAATACAACAGGCTATCCAGACATGATTGAGGTATCAACGATAATTTCAACGATCCTTCATATAGACAACCCCTTCAAATTTCTTCTACTGTTATTAATTGGGCATTCTTAAAGCAGACTGCATATATGTAAAAAGGAAATTTCGAAACAAATTAATACCCTCCTTCACGTAATTCATCTGCGTGCAGAAAAAAAATCTAACTTATTTTCGCATTCGGCTGTTTTGGTATTTCTGATGCTTTAATTCGCACATTTGAATGTCTACTTTGCTTGACTTGACCCTTTCCAGTTTGAATAGGCCAAACGCAATAATCCAGAACTATTATTGGAAAGACAGTTCAAACCTGTTTGGAACAAAGTCTCTCGCACACCATATTATTAAAATATGTATGTCAGCGAATGATAGGGGAAGCATTTGGACTCGGAAAGTGTAAATTATGCGTAGAATTGACCCGTATTACCACAGTCCCTCCTTGTCAAACAAATGCCATTTGATTCAATTGTTTGTGTTTATTTCAATTATTGGTGCATTATTTCTTTAAAATGTCATACGGATTTAGCGACAGCCTTTTGTTTCAGCTAGTAAAGATTAGCAATCAAATTGCTGCAACAAATTTAGCGGACTTTCAAAATGCTTTACTCAGAGCAACTGAAGGAATTATAGCTTGCACACACTTAAGAAAACTGAACACTGCTGTCTTCCAAACTCTGAGTAACTGTCTGGGTGCTTGTTCTGTGCTCGGTTTTTTTTTCCAATCCTCCTGTGGACAATTTGCCCCAGTAGCAGTTGAGCAGTTAAACCAGGCAGGTAACATGTTTGCGAGCGACACTTTGACATTGACTTTGTGTCTGAATTAAAAATGCTCGCAAGGAATTAGAAATAATCACAAGGTATTTCCAAATGGGAACATCTTGGGAATAACGTCTTTATCCGGTTTATGTAAAAGTCCAAAGAATCTATACATTGTGCAATACAGATCCCACGGCCTACATGAAGGCACCAATTCGTTGGCTAAAGGAATTAATAATTGGACGCTGGATGGTTAGTAAAATAATTTGTAACCAAAGTAGTGATTTTTGTGGATTTGTAATGCTGATTAAACGTTCAGAGATGTTGCATTCATTTGTTGACTTTTTTTAATCTGTCACTTTCTTCTCCCTGAACTGTTGGAGCAAGAGGAAAAATAGACAGTGGTCTCCTTGAGTTTTGTTTTTTTTACCATCTTGTCTTGCCTGAGGACCTAGGGCCTGCATCAAGTCGTTTTTCATTGGCGAAAGATTTGAAAACCTCCTAATAAACAAGGACGTGGGGTTTTCAATGAAAGTTAAATTGCCATGAGCCAAATTCCTAAAATGCCACAGGTCTCTGCCTTTAAAAGGATACCTTTAACTTCAAATTAAACTGTGGCAACTTTACTAAGGAAGCAACTTTTTTTTGTTTTTTAATTAAAAATCGCTATCTGTAACCAAATTCGACGAAAAGACGTTGTGGATTCTCGTATTTATTGTGGGTCTGCAGGGCAATTAAAATCACCAAATGTTTTGACTTATTACCGTCAATCTACAGCTTTTTGATCCTACCATTGCTTGAACGTGTGTTACTTTTTACAGGTTCCTAAATGGTTTGAAAAGAAGCTGTACTTTTTAGTATGGACAGTCGCATCTCGTCTTGATTTGCGTTTAAAACCGCCAGGGCACTCCGTGTTAGCTTATGTCTTTTTGTACTTTCCCATTGAAACGTTTCAGAACGACGCTATCTGAATCTTTAATATGCATATTATCAATTGCTTTTGAAGTTTCTGAATGTGAATGCAGTAATTATTTACTCATGGTCTTTTTTTTAAGATGAGCCTGAACATTCGGGCAACAATGGTTTGACACGATCATTGGCAACCGGCTGCAGTAGCTTTTAGTCTTGTGTATATAACAAATTAATCCATTATGAGCATTAACAAATGTGAAACCAGTTTGTTTTTACAAAAGAAACTTAACACATTAAAATCTAAATGGGAGTCCTTTTGGGGGCGTTTTGGCTAGATGACTTGCGAATGGATAAACACATGGACAACCCATTTTTATTAATTTATAAACAAAACAGTGGACTCGATGGCATTCTGCAAAAGCCGAATGCGCTGGGTTAGCACATTAGCTTAGCAGTACGGTAAAATGTGATGCGCTTGTTTTTCATTTTATTTCAGGTGAAAATCTGGTTCCAGAATAAGCGCTCCAAATACAAGAAATTGATGAAACACAGTTCCAATGTGCAAGAAGGCGACCACCTACCCACCTCTGCTGCTTTGTCTCCGTGTTCGCCCAATATCCCACCAGTCTGGGACGTTCCCATGCCAAATAAGGGCTCCACTATGCCGCCGAACAGCTACATTAACAGTTTTGGGTCATGGTACCCACCGCCCCACCAGGACACCATGCCAAGACCCCAAATGATGTGATTAACCCAGAGTACAATCATTCCCACAAACTTCTTAAAAACACTCAAAACAATCTGTCACATGATTTCAAATAGTCTTATGGACGAGAAAAGGCGACTGAATCCAGATAACAATGACAATATGCTTTCAGTCGTATCTAAACAGGTTTGTTCCAGAAATACAATGGGTATATAGAGTCAAACTCCTCTAACGAGTGCAACACAAATTTGTACGATGTTTGTAATTCTATTGGAGTAGTTTGATGTATCTATAATCTACGTTGTGAATTACAAAAAAAACCCCGATTTTATACCTGTTCTACTAAACTCAATTTTAGTGTTTTAAAACTTTTTTTTAAACTCCAGGATGCAAATCCTTCTTAGTTGGGCAAAGTGCATAGGCTGTATTTCAGGCATTTACCGATAAATTATCCATTCTCTTCTTTGGGCTCTTACCATATCAGTTTTTTGTGTACTTTTTATTTAATTACCGTAATTCAAACTTGAAGCATGAAAGTGTCATTTGCCATATATAGCTTCAGTCAGATAGAGCTGCAAACACCTGGTTAATTGGAGAGTATGCGGCTGGAATATTCAGGTTTTCTCTTTTTAAAAAAAATCTGTTTAGTATGAAGTGAATTTGGTAAATGCAAGTACATACAATCACAAAACCGTTTATAATCGGAATGATTCAGCAAGTATGGGAATTCACAATGGATTATACGGTATTGCTAAAAAAAAAAGTGCCGGTTTTGATTGTTGATCAGAAATTCCCTTGAATTTCTGGGAAAAAAAAATCAATACCTCAAACGTTAGCCATTTAAGATTCTACAAGAAATATTCTATCTTTCTGGCATTTCCTTTTCTTTTCTTTAAAGACAGTATCCGTTTGATTTGCACTGTAAGTAATTGAACCGGGCTAGTTTAAACTTCCATTTCCATTGAGATCTCCAATTTGTAGAACTGCTCTGGGCAGTAGTTCAGCCTGCGGTGCCATGTTCAAATCTTTCAAGGGTTAAAATTAACTGGAGGCGGAAGTCTCTAGGATGGGTCGTTCTCATCGTTTGCAACAGGGTTCTCAACAGGGTGCACTCTGTGCCCACCCCTCTAGTTTCTCAAGAATAAACAATACTGTTCACAATGAACGTGGCATGATGCAAGAGATGAGGAAGAATGTGTTTTTTTAAAATTTGAAATACAGCCTATGTTGTGAAATAAAGGGTTATGCTTATCTCTCCCAAGCAATATGAAGGTAAACGATTTCTTGGAGAAAAGAGAGCGAGGGAACATTACGTGTGTATATATTGTTAAATTAGTTGTAAATAGTGCATATGTATTATGTCTCATTATTCTAAGACCCGTGTCATCGCGTTCAATCGACCCAATTCGAACAAATATGGCTACTCAATTTAATAGTACGTTTCTCAGGATTATAGAAACCGAAGTGTGTTAGCATTTTTTTTAAAAAAGCAATGCCGACTTAACTGTGGATTTAACTGTAATTATGTGTAAAGGAAAGGCACAAGGTTTGCATGTAATTGATCAAACTATTCCATTCATTGCACCTCCCATCACAGTTTCTCGCTTCAATTTCCTTTGGGGTCAAACATAAAGACGAACCTCAACAGAATTTAAAAATATATAAATATATAAAATGTATGCGGTCATGTTAAAAAGTGCAGGAAACGTGGCTTTTTTTTGCATGACCACATTTTGGATTCGCCAAGAACTGGTGCATTTCTGGAAATGTTATTTGTCTTCATGATTAAAAAAACCTGAACTTTTAAAATTAAGCTGTGGTTTCCAGTGTGGTCACCGAGCGCCCTGCCTTTGTATTTCTCACAAGCGACACAGGCGACATATTGTGGAAAATTTGGTTTGATGGAGAAATTAATCGCAATTGGTCTGTGATTCTTGATTTTAAAACCTTAATGTATTAAAATGATTCCGAGACATTTTTTTCCCTTTAAACTAAGTATATATTTTGGGGTGGGATAGTTGTAATGTCGGAGGAGATTTTTTTTCTATTATAAAAGGGCACGTCTCATTAAAAAGGTCCTAACGTGAAACAGAAAAAAAAGTTAGTACTTGTCATATAAGGAATAATTGTAGATAATAACACGTTTTTTCCCAATGTGCGGTGTATGTATTGTCTGTTAAGTGATTCCTGCGCCTGTACATCATCCTGTACTACCTGTGGCCAGTCGATGTTATCACCAACGAACAGTACACATTCTCAAAGCTCCAACTTGTATAGTTAATTGCACTTTTGACATTAATATTTTAATCTTGATTTTTATTGCCATTCATCCTGATCAACCCTTCAGTGTATGCATCTCGATGACAGTTATTTAGTTCTCAGCTGTTTTTAACCGCCGCCTTCCTTAAACTAATAAAATGGTGCCAACGTCGAATCAACAATTCATTTGCCTTTCAATGGCTGCACTACATCAGTGGAGGCCGATCCAAATTCTGTGCTAACTCTGTTCTCTGTAACAATATTCACTGAAGGAGAATAGCGCCATTTGTATCAGGGTCGTGTTTTAGTCTCTCTTCCCCCATATGTTACTAATCATCCACTGTCATGCCTTTTGGATATATTTCTATACCGAATGAATAGGCAGAGTCTGCTACAGTATTTCTCTGGTTTGCCAAATAAACGGATAAATCCGTCCTACCAAAGGAGATCGATTAAGGTATGATCTGTGTTGTTTGCCAGTCAGGGCTAGTGGCCTTTAAACCTTCGGGCCTGGAAGAATGTGTTTGACGTTTTTCTGGGGTAAAAGAATAAATCTATATTCCCCGTTCGGCGGTCTGACAGATACACCTGTATCTAACATTCCCAATTAAGAAACTCATTACTTACCACGTGTCTCTGATCTCCACTTGTCAGGCCTCACAAACTACAACACGTATTGAAATCCATGGTTTGCTCTCCCAATTTTTTGTCAAAGTCAGTCTACAAGACAAGATAGTGGTGTTTACAGATTTTAATGCATAATAGCTGGCATGTCAAGCCTCCCCCCGTAACATCTGCACTGGAAGCCGTGTGCAAAGCCCACTTCTCTGCTATTTTAAGATTTTTTTATGCTTGTGTGAAAAGGGCTGTAATTAGAGCAATTTTGACTGTAGCTCCCTGAATAAAGCGCTTTCCATCAAGATAATTACCAGCAATTTTCAGTCGCCTAAATGCACTGCTTAATATGTAACAATTCGGAGTGGGGGAAAAAACGCGAATCAGGCAGATGCACCGGCTGCAGTTGGGCAGCACAGATTTGAGTTGTTATTACCTAAATTACTTGCAGGTGTATATTGTAATCAGTAAAATACTGATAAAGGAATATATGTACAAAAGAAATAGGATTGGATCGATAGTTTTTTTTAAAAACAGCAAACTAGGAAATCGGCAACACAAATACAACATCCGTTACAGAATTAGCGAATCGAGCAGACAATAGTTCGCTTCACTAATAGGCATTTCGTGCCAATGTGGACAAGCCGTTGTAGACTATTTAATAGGAAATTGCTAAACAGTTCAGTGAAATTTTATTATCTCCTAACTTTCACTGCCTTGTAGGAAAAATTGTAACACCTAACACCCTCCCACCCCACCGCCAATCCGCCCCCTCTCCCCGCCAACTCCATCAAATGACACGACGATAAAATGAATCCAGTATCATTGGGTCTAAACTGATGGCCGAGCTACAAAATAGTCAAGCCACAAGTCAAGTGAAAGATAAGATCATCGTTCTGGTGTGTTTTATTTGTCTGTGTAAGTGCACGCACTTTTGTTATTTCATACAAAATATCACCAAAACACATCCTTTTTGTTGATTATGGCATATTCGGTCTTAAAATATTTTAAATCTTATACATGCCCCTCTTGAATAGTAGCATATATTTTCAAGTGACCTGCCTGGTGAGTTCGGTTTGGCCTACCCATTTATACCACCAGGCCTGCAAGCAATTTTCATGCACTGGAATACTCAGCAAATACTCTAACAACAAACCAGTTTGGTAAAAGGAGGCGTGGGGGGGGGGGGGGGGGGTGGTGGTGGAGTGGTGGCTGCAGATTATGCCCCAGTACACCCAATACCTTTAGGGTAAATGGGTGAATGGAGCACACAAGGGAATCATAAGTGGGTGTGGAATTATTTCAAAACATGGATCTTGGCTGATGTAATCGAGGTAGCTTAGTTTCTTTTAAAAAAAGAACCTCCATTGACTCCCGCACTGTACAGTTACGTCCTTTGAAAAACTAACTCGTCGATTATCCTGCCCGTTGTTTTCAGCGAACTATCTGTGCTAACGGGTCGACCACCGATACAAAAAAAAATGCATGACTAATAATATACCGAATCAGGTTGCCAAACGTTAAGAAACGAACGCCTTCCAAGCAAAAGAAACATACCACACGCAACCACAGGGGTGAGCAGAACACACACTCGTCTCCTAGATCGAAACTTAATATGTTGCTTTGCGATATTGCTGGGCATCCTAACATTCCTCCCTTCTATGTAGCAACACCTTCAATACACAGGGCAGTATATTTCTTAACTCCACTGGAGCAAATATCCTGTCTAAGAGAATACGAGAAGCATAGACGAAGGCGAGGGCTTACCTGTTGTGGCTGGTGTTTACTCAGAAATTATTTTGCAGCTTGCACAGAATGGCAATTTGTTAGCCTCTTTTATTTTCTTCCCCTGAAATGCATGCGGTAAAAAAAGTGCAGGAAATGGAGCTAACAACGCCGGTGCTGCTAGCTCTGGTTAAAGCTCCAAGTGTGAATTAATTCTGCTATCAGCGTCCTCTTTATATTCTCAGCTCAATTAGCCTTTATTACTGGCCATGTTTACTCATCGAGAGATGGGATAAAATGTGTTGAATAGAGAAATTGCTCATCTTTGCAAATTATAGGTAATTTCAAAGCTTGAGATTATAATAATAGCAGTCCAATCTGGACAGCCTACGTATAGTCTTCCAAACAGCATAATTACTGGAAAGGTTTAGGAACTCCAGAGAACTGAATTCATTATTTACTCTTCTCTTTGACGAACTTGGGGCTGTTTGATGAATACAAATCGTACAGATATAATTACAGTTCGGATTATTTTTTTATTATTACGAGCCTCTGGGACACATTCTCCAGTAAATCTGAGAAGGATACTGCTTGTCCACAGTGAGGAGCCGAGATCAGACCGGGCATTTATGCCCCCTTTTCTCTGTGTGGAGTAAAAGAAAGGTTGGGAAATGGCCTTTTTAAAGGTGAGGTGAGGGATCTTTCAATGGGCTTTGTCGAAATACTTCCCGTTGTAACGGTTCAAACAGAAAAGAGTTGTGAGGTCAAACCGGGCTCCGGCATTGTGAATGAAATTCTGCTGCTCGCCTTGATGCCTGAAGATCAGGGTTTTGAATCGCATATAATAACAATCCGCCTCGCCAGATCTCGGTATTTCTTTTCCGCCGAAAGCGTGAGTGCAGACTCGGGAGGGGGGAGGGGGTGGGGCGGGCAGCCTTCAACTCCCGACCGAATCGTACGGCATGTTCAGTTGGACAAGGCTGTTAGACTGGGTTTCGTTTTAACTTTCCGCAGACTGCAAGCGGGAAGCTCTGCACAGAATCCTGGCATCATGTTTGGGATTGTCAATTCTTCGCTTTAACTGAATCAACGCTACAGCAGTACAAGGGGATTCATCACAATATCGTAGTTCCCAGGCTGAGGAATATAATTGAATGCAAATGGTGCCTTTCAGTCCGCAAAGGGTTACACTTAATTATTGCTCTTAGGGACGATGTTACATGCTAAATGTTATGTAATGATTTCAGAATGCTGTTATATGCCATCTATGTCATATTTAACATGCACACCTAGTACTGAAATTGGATACACTGCTTGCTTCCTTTCAACTCCGGTCGCACAACATAAATGCTGTAAGTGCAACATTGGCAATATTTGAAATCACGGGCATTTTGCAACAATGAAACTGAAGCTTTAACGTATTTCCAATTATGCATTCCCCCATCCCTCAGCCCCCAAAGCCACCCACCCCACGAAGAAACCCACCCGCGCCAGTTTCACTTTCTCTCTTTCAATGGGCGGGCTGTTTTTTAAATCATGGTTCTAACCCTAACCAAAGTGTTGACGAGCTGCTCTTTGTACTGCAAAGCGTCCTTCTGAAAACAGCATTATCTTTGTCATTCTCACCGAGACGACTGCAGTCCACTGCTCCCTCTATCTGTGTCACGTAAAATGCCAGGGTTTAGATAGCCTCCACCTTTTTGGTTTGTCAATTTTAAACGATTTTACCCTCCTTCCACCACTGGGTATCATCAATTAGAGCCAGTAAACACGGAGTAAAGTGTCAGTTCCTTTGCGTACTGGACGAAGCACCATGCATTTACACACTGGTCCGCGAGTGTGCTTGGAACCAATGTATTTGCAACATAATTCATCTTCGACATATTTACACATTTCGCTGCGCAGAAACGGATTCTTATATATTATTCAAAGAAACCACATTTAAATAATATTTTAGCGAATGTTCATTTATTATTTATCCCTTCAAACGCGAATTTTCAGGTAAAGTCATCTAAAATTCTACCACAAAATAAGGTGAGCGGATTGTAACCGCCTGACCCATAGACAGACTTCGGATAATGTTCAAGAACAAAACTTAATTTATTTGCTGATTTTGAAATTCGTGTGTTATGGACTTAAAATATCTACGTAGGAGTGCATTGTTGTGACTGTCACACCAGTCTGATCTTAACAAACCGGCAATTCGTGTTTCTCGAATCGAGAAAAATATCATTCAAAGAAATAGAGGTACATTTATTTAAGAAAGCCTTTTCTGTTCTTTGGATGCGAACTACGGTGAAAGCTGACAAGGTATTCACGGTGAAGTGTTGCTTTCCGAAATTGAGATTTAAAATATACAGTAAGGTGTAAATAAAACAAAAACCGAAAGACCCGCGGATGCTGGAAATCAGAAACAAAAACAGAAATTGGGGACCCAGTTCTGAGAGAGGGTCACTGGACCCAAAACGTTAACCCTGATTTCTCTCCACAGATGCTGCCAGACCTGCGGAGCTTTTCCAGCAACTTCTGTTTTTGTTTCTAATAACAACAAAACACTTCATTTCCCGGCCGCAATGTGAGCTTAAGGAGCTCCTTTTGAGTTAACTTTGTGCGAACTGCAATACCTCGGAAGTACAGAGGATGACAATAGATGAAATTTTGTTCAACCGATTCCACGAAGGAAAAGCTCCATTAAACTGTTCTGCATTTCCACAGTGACGGCGTCTTAAAGATACTCTATTGTATGGTTATGGGAGCAACTTAATTTGAGTTTGTGCCATTTTTGCAGATTGTCGGGGGAATTATGAAGTTTCCGAAACAATATGGGGGCATTTCTAAAGCGTCTCAGATGATGTCTACGAAATTCTGTCACCGATCTGCAAGAATATTTCGCTCGAGTTCTCCCGTTCTCTACATATAGTTGTACATACTTGCAAGAGCGTTTCTTTAAAGAAAAAGAAATAGCACAATGATGCATTTATATTAAATGAACGTAAAGTGATGTTAATTTCTTCGATCAGTTCCAATAGGTGGTCCATTTACCTCATTAGGCAAGGTGTGTGCATTTGGTAGAATTCTGTATACAACATCAATCGCAATGTCTATATGTAGCTATTGGGCTACATAACAATATGTAATGTGATCAGAGATAATTTTCAACCAATATGTCTGTATGCTTCATAATGATGACTGATGACTGATAACTGAGCATTGTATTTTAACTGCAGCCTGTAATTGATGTTCATCGCATTCTCTACAACCGCAGTCCTTGCATAGGGTCTAGCCAAACAATTCCATTCTTTTGATCTATGGATTTCCACCTGATTTTTACAGCTGTTGCTACCGACTGAAACAGAAACGATTCATTCAACAGTGATATCGGCTTTCCTGGAGGGATTCTATGTAAGATTTGGTGGAATAGCTGGAGATATTAACATGATAGAGGGCAGAGCCGTTGATAGCACAGTGAAATCAGTGGTAACTTTTGGCACTAATACACCCGACGCAACCAGTGCGTTCCTCAAAGTTTCGAATGTCTCCTTGAGTTTCCCCCAACTTATCACCACGTCGTATATTTTGCAACATGACACATACGCACACACACACATTCCCTTCAATCATGGCGAGGATACCGCTTTTAGGATTTCGTCATGTCTTTTTAATTACTACCGAAGATATTTCGTAACGCTGCGTGCCTGTTACTCAGCCTTAGTTATTACTCGCTTTATGTACACAGCGAAAAATAACCTTGACTCACAAACTCACTGTTGTAAATAGTAGGGACCTAGACGAATTCGCAATGTGGCACGGCCCGCTTGTAAGTTCGAATACAACATGAACTGTCCACCTTATATGCAGGTACATAGATTGGGAAATCAGGGTAACTATTCTATGGAATTGTATGAAATACACCACCCGTGGATCTGTTTATGTACAGAACTAGTACTATAGATATACGCTACCAAACGCTTGCATTCGAAACAAATGCATGGTCAACTTGCAACTATATTACCGTTTTGGTAATGAAAGCAATGGCATTTGTTGTCCTAGTTCTACATTAGAACGCTTCTTGGCTTTATTTCCTTCGGCAAGGCCGAAACTTGAGCAGTAAGACTGTTTAACGATGCTGTGCAGTAAAATGCATCAGCGTAGTTATTACCATTGGATCTCAAGTCACATCTGGATTCGCAGCTTACGCAGGGAATTATTTAGAACTACCTGAGGATAGTGAAATTTATCTAAATACATTTCCAAACCAAATATTAGCTTCGCTGCAATACACCAGGCATGGGCATGGGTGGTGAACTTTTGTCACTGGAAATCTTATCGACTCCAAGTTCGCTTACAAGTACCAACTCCTTATATTCCCACTCCCCTCCACTGGAAGCCGCATCCTTTTCATTGTAAATGCGGACCTCTATTCTATTCGGTTGTTGAGTTCGGTAAGAATAGGGTTAAACCAGGCAGCTCCTGTTGTAGTCAGCCTGGCAATTGCAACAGCTTTGATGCACTTGCTGGTATGTGAGCTCTAGCACGATATTAACCCCAGGCGATGGAGCAGTTTTTTTTCTGGCAGTCGTGCCTAATAAAATCCTGCTCCACGCAACTCAGTGTCTCCAGAATGTCTGCCTGGCTGTCGCCTATAGAGCTTTTGCACGCAGCCCTCAAACCAAACTGCCTTTAATAGCTGGAGATGGGTGTACGTTTAACTATTTACTTTCCATATGCTGCCCTTATGTGGAGTTCTCGTTGGTTTTCATATGTGTTTTAATATTTCATTCTATTCCGACATTGTATCCAGCCCTGTCTGAGAAAAGGGGCCATTTCGGTAAAGTAACCCATCTCTTAGTCACATTTCGAAGCCATTCAATCTCGGTAAAATGCAGGCGTAACTTTCGGTCACCATCCTGCTTAATTGTAACTTTAGAACGTGTACAATAGTAAAAAAATGTCGGAGATGGTACTCCGATTAAAAAGCAACTTCAGTGGAAATGTGAACATTTAAATATTTTATGGTGATTCCGAAAAATAGGCCAGTGTCAAAACGGGGGTTCCAATCACAGAGAGTTCAGTTTAGAATAAGCCATCTTCTCAACAGATTTCAAGTTGTCATCATTTCTACTTCCTAAATAAAGAGTGTAAAAGCAAGCTGTGGAATGATGACTTTTTTTATTATTAACAT